CCCCAAAACCCCAAAACCCCAAAACCCCAAGCTTTAAAAATCGTAGCAATTAAAGATATTATTGACTTTAAAACAATTTATTTTCAAAAATAAAGCCATTCAGATTTCTCTTTTTGTTCGTTTATATTCAAATTCCCAGTTAACTTATTTTATTCCAAAAGGCTTTTTGCACTAAATTGGTTATTTGTGCGAATATTTTGGAATTTATTTAATTCTTATAGCACCTAAATTCAGAATCAATCAAAATTTATTCTCTTACATCATTTCTTTTTTACTGATAAATTGGATTTTAAGAGTCTCCCTCGTCTAGAATAAATTCATACCTTTCAATCTTCTCCTTAAAATCTTGCTCTCTTTACTATTAAAATATAAAATGCAAATTGAATCTTACAACCATTTGAGTGATTCTAAATTGTAATTCTTCTATTGCTTTTTCTCTTTCTTTAACAATATTTACTAAGTATTCTACAACATCTTCATCTTGCTTTAAATCTTTAGCATTTCTTTTGCTATTGAAATGCTATACCTTGCTCTTCAGATCATCGATAAGTTTGGTTTTCTTAGCAAGCTCTACATTTAGAGCTCTAATCTAAGCATGAGAATCTACTATTATAGAAACATCAGTCATTTGCTTCTGTTAAATGAGTAAGTCTTGCAATTCCTCAACTCTGCAAATTAATTGCCCAGTATGGCCACTAAAGTCCTCTGCAATATAGGTCTTATATTTTTCAAGTTCTACTCTTAGTGCAACATTCAATCTTTGAAGTTCATTGTTTTGAATGATAAATTAGTCTTTTTCAGATAGTAATTACCTTCTTTCCTCATAAAGCTGGTAGATCTAATTAGATAAGAATTCTGCAGCAACTCTCTTTTCCTCATCTCCTTGCTCAGAATAAGCTAAGGCAACAGCATTATTAGCTTAAATAACCCTTCTCTCAGTCATTGTTAGAAGTCTGTTGTATGATTCTCTTTATTTCTCTAATTATTCTTTACAAGTTTAGGACTATTCCAAATTAAGCTAATTCTCTTTTAGCAAGTCTGCCCATTTTTTTTCGCATAGTTGCTACCTTCTTTCATATTCTTCAATAGTTCTTTGTAAATTTATCAAATCTGATGCCTATTTTTCAAGCAGTGATTTTGAGTAATATTCAGAGGATCCGAGCTCAAAGTTCTGCAAGAACTACTCTTTTTCTCTTTCTTTAGAATCTAGTGTCATTCTTAGTTCTTAGATGTGCCTTTTATATTCAACTAATCTGGCAGGTAAATCATTTTAAATCAATTCATTTAGAGCTTATGCCTTCTCACTATTGCTATTCTACGACTAATCGTACTTTATTTAGAGATCAGTAGTATACTATTCAAGTGCCTTTAATTTGGCCTCATTTAAATCTTTTGTTTGTATTGTATTTTTTAGTTCATTAGTAAGTTTAGCATTTTAAGTTTAGAGCTCTAAAATAGTCGCTTCTTTTTCAACCAAAACTCTTTATAATTTTTCATTTTTATTTCTAATAGAGTTACTTTGCTATTCTAGCTGCTAAACTTGCTTCATATTATTAGTTTGTAGCCTATCTATATCATCTCTAAATCAATCTTGAATAAATTTCTTTTCATCTTCCACTATCTATTTAACTGTAAGTTCTTTATCTAAATTATTCTTTTACTCTCTTAGCATAGACTAGGCAACTTTTTCCTCCAGCAATTTCCTCTCTTTTTCAATTAGTGCTTAAATATTCCCTTCTGATTGTCTAAGTCTCTCTTCAATAGATTAATTTTATTATTAGTTGGGGTTGAATTAACTGTTATTTTAGTTGTTCTGATTTTTTTGATTGTTGAAGTTGTGTTAATTATGATTATTATTCATAGACTGCATGGTATTCATCATATTTTAATTGCTCTTCCTTGGAGATGGAGTTTCAAATTCTTCAAGTGATGCTGCATATGCTGGGACATAATTGTATTCAAAGGGATTTTTAGATTATCTCAATTAGTCACTAGGCTATGGGAATGGCTGGCCAGTCAAATGATCAATTTATGCATATGTAAGATGCTAGTCTGTAACCAACTTTATTTTATGGTCATTTAAACTTTCCCTGCTAGGCTCATCCTCAGTAGAAGGCGGTGCTTTAAATAAATAATCTTTTGCATCTATTTTAAATGTAAATATTATCTCAATTTGTTACGATTTCCGAACTTAATAGTATCATTGTTTTTAAGCTTCTATTCACTATTTTTTGATAGTTTCTTTCCGTTCACAGTACAACCATTCACCGATCCTTTATCACTATTGCAATGATTTATGTTAATAGTAAAATTTACATCAAAACTGGTTAGTCAAATTAATCATTTAGCTGAATATTAGCATGCTCTTTTGCCAAAGAGACATCATCTATAAAAATAGTTGCTCCTGGATTTCTGCCGATAATAGTAAGCTTATTTAATAAAGGTATTTTTTTATTTCCAACTTAAAGAATGAATTCTTTTCTTTAAGGTCCTGATAGTCTAGATTAATTCATATTTTAAAATTTTTAATATTTTTGATTTTCAAAATAGCTGCTCTACGGGGTTTTGGGGTTTTGGGG